CAGCGGTTTGAAAAGAGTATTTGACTGTATCAACAAGGGGCCAGTAGTCCCATTTTTCTACAGGAGGAAGACAGTGTCTGAAGGGTGTTCTTCCCCAGAATATTTTGAAATTTCAAAGCCCTAAAAAGCAACTCCAGCATTTTGGGTACTAAATTGAACACAAAAGAGTGTGTTTTTCATTTAAAAAACTGTAGCTTTCATTCCAGTTTCGATTCATTGGCCACACAATTAATTCCTATAACCAGTGAATGAATGATGAAAACTAAATTACATAATTTGCCCTAGCCTAGGCTCTCTGTATGGGGAAGGGGTGAAAAAATCGCAAGGAGAGGGAAGGGAAAAGGTGAGAGCCTGTAGACAAACATTTGAGGCTGCTATTCCGTCTTCTTGTCTTGTAATTGCCAATCATCTGTCAGCAAGATCGTTATCTGTCACTTGGATACAATGGAATGTAATCAATTTTGCATGTGAAAACAGAGTCAAGCAGAAGGCAACACACAACTTTTACCTCGTGCCAAAATGCTTCTTTTTCTAGTGAGTTGTTTCCTGCTCTGGAGGGTTTCGATTTAACTGAGAAAATGTGATTTTTGCTGCTTATTTCATACTGAGAGGTCATGACAAGCATATTGATTTTCTGCAGTTATTGTTTCTGGTCGGCGTGATTTGCTCTCTGATGCAAGAACATTCACTGTGGCTAAAAAAGCTCACCAGTCAAGAGCCAGAAGATGCCATGTTAAAGATCAGAAAACCTGTTTACAAGTGATTATATCAACCAAATTATCACGTGCTATGTGCTGACCAAAAAAGCGATGTAAACCAAACCTGTCAACAGTCAGCGTTCTTGTTAATAGGAGCTTGCATCAGGATCTGATGCACAGTGGGTGCCTTGGAATGACAGTCCCCTATGTTTGTCTACAGGCTCTCACTTCCCTCTTCACACGATTTTTTCACCCTTTCCCAAACAGAGAGCCAGTTCACAGGCTACATTTGCATGTAAACAAATTCTGCAAAAACCTATAAACTTGTGAAAAACTGACTGAAATATAGCGTTTGCATGACTAAAGAATAATGTAAACCAGTTCATTCAGATTTCATTATCCTTTTTCAGGTTACGATATTGTTGCTTCTTAGTTCTTTCTAGAAAAAAGGAGCCGACTTCTCTGAGCAAAGTATCTGACACATTTCGTCGACCGTCGGTGCTTATTAAAAGCCCTGTTAAACAGTACCATTAAGTTCAATTCTCTCTTTCCCGAGGTCATTAATGAGATCAGAACTGCCAATCACCAGCATGCTCAAATGAAACCTAAACCATAAGCAAGGGCACGGAGCTTTTTGTTTTGTAGCACCCGTACTATAAATTATAAGAGCCTCGAACAGGATAACTAAACTGATGGATGTTCAAATAAGAGGACACATACCTTGTCCAGCTCCTGTAGCAAGTGCATTCCAAGTTAACCATGTTGAAAAAAAAAAAAAACAGTGCAAAAGGAATGCATTAAACAACAACAATTATAACAACAAAAACAACAAAAACATTTTGGTTATGTCTTGCGTCCACCCAAGGAAATTTCTTTTAATTTTTTGGGGGGAAGGGTGGGGATGCTTGCTATTAGGAAAATTTGAATTTAATCATTAAGAGCACTTTATTAACCCTCCAAAAAATATATCAATTATTGGACAAGGCTGAAAATGATATGAAGAATTATGCTAAAAGAGGAGTTCACGCTCATAGTTGCATCATGGGTAATCAGGGCAAGATGGCGGGAAATTGGAAGATTTGTATTAGAATTCAAAGCCGGCTATTTCTTCCCGAATTCACATATTTGATGCTTTCTCTTTGAAAAGAGTAACTTACGAGTTCAAAGAAACAATACACTAAATGTGAAGTGCAAAGAAGTCCCTGATCAGTTTTTAGAAAACCTCAATTTTTCCATACATTTTCTGTAATTTTAACACTGTGTAATTACAGAAATGTATGAAAAAATCACGGTGAACTATGTGCGTGAACTCCTCTAGTGAGGAGGGTGTTGAGGGAAAACCCCCTCCATGATCTGCACAATAGCCCACATTCAATATATTAAAATTATAACATGATTCCGAGGCTTTCAAGTAATTTTTCTATTTGGTTTGGTTTTCTTTGTGTTTAAGTCTCTTCTGGGAATTGTGAGACAATGGAGTCGTGAAAAATCTGCAATTTACCATTACGCCTCAGAGTTCAGAGTCATGTTAGAATTTTATTATATCAACTGTTGGCTTTTCTTTTTAGTAAAACGTTTATACTAAAACAGTGGATAGCGTTTTCACGATCTCAGATTGGCTAATCAAATCATTAAAACCAAAAACGGCCAAAGCCAAAACACTCAGGTTAAAAGGCGACAAAGCGGGCAGAATAAGTCTTTGAAAACAAATTTCACAGGCGTTCCCTGCTCGCCCCCTTTCTTCCACATTTTTTCNGCGTGAACTCCTCTAGTGAGGAGGGTGTTGAGGGAAAACCCCCTCCATGATCTGCACAATAGCCCACATTCAATATATTAAAATTATAACATGATTCCGAGGCTTTCAAGTAATTTTTCTATTTGGTTTGGTTTTCTTTGTGTTTAAGTCTCTTCTGGGAATTGTGAGACAATGGAGTCGTGAAAAATCTGCAATTTACCATTACGCCTCAGAGTTCAGAGTCATGTTAGAATTTTATTATATCAACTGTTGGCTTTTCTTTTTAGTAAAACGTTTATACTAAAACAGTGGATAGCGTTTTCACGATCTCAGATTGGCTAATCAAATCATTAAAACCAAAAACGGCCAAAGCCAAAACACTCAGGTTAAAAGGCGACAAAGCGGGCAGAATAAGTCTTTGAAAACAAATTTCACAGGCGTTCCCTGCTCGCCCCCTTTCTTCCACATTTTTTCCTCGCCTCTCAATTTCTGCACCACTCTCTACTCTGTCAACGCCTGAAGCCAGGCTGGAACAGGCTATTTCGTCGAGTGCACCCTCTGAGAACTTAACTGTTGGATTGCAAAAAGTATAGCTTGTCAGTGTCATCCTATAGAGAATATCCGTTCGGCCATGAGCAATGCTAAGATTTTGTCGCGGAAATACGAAAAAAAAGGCACGTGTGCACTTGGTGCTATGATCTGCAGACTGACAGAACGAAGAACGACCCAACCAAGAAGCTATACTACTGAGTGAAATATCTAAAAGAGGTAAATCTAAAATCACTTACCTAGGGGAACCACCTTAATTTCTGGCATATTTCTTGAAGTTACACGTTGTAAGACAGGCTACATTTCTCAAAGATGGTCGTTATAAAGTTGTCACTTGTCCTCTCCCTCTCTTGTCTCAACAATAAGAATCAGGCAAATCAATCATAATAGCCAGCGTACACTTGATTGCAACTATGCGCCTCATTTACCTTACAGTCGTAAGCCGCTGACTCATAAACCAAGACTGAAATGTCGGAAGTTTCGAGACGTCGATAGGTGTTCAACATAAGAAGCCGGTTTATCCCTCATAAATAATTTGGAAAGTATAACAAGGAAGTCTGTTACCTCTCTAGAAGAGTTGAAGCTCGAACCATTATGTCAGGGAGAAAGTTTCAGCTAAGCATTGTCCGGGATGCCTTCAAAATGACACTCCAAGAAGACGACGGCAAGCTAGTGATGGACGAATACCTTCGAGGGTATGACGAACTTTGTATATTTTTTGATATGCTGGGAACTGTATTCGGGTTTATAACGTCAGATGTCCGAGAGAAAATTGGAATTCTTCAAGAGTATCGTAGATCAGAAAGAGGAGATAAATATGTGTATGTTCAGAGCATGTTTGAATATGAAATTGCCAATGATGTGATAAAGAAGACAACACACCCACTATCCGGTTCTAGAACGTTACTGAGATTACATCGAGCATTAGCTTTCACCATGTTGTTCATGAAGAAACTCAGCGAGGCATCAGACAACGACGCCTCTTCCACCTTGGCCTCAAATGCTTACAAAGAATCACTGGCGAACTTTCATCCGTGGCTGATTCAAAAGGCTGCTTCATGGGCTATGTACACTCTACCGAGTGTTGGAGATTTAAGTAAGAAAATCGCAGCGCCTAATTGGGACGGAGAAGAAACGAAGCAAATGTTAAAAGAGGTAACTGCGTTGATAAAGACTGTGTATGATATCACGGAGGAACTGTACACCAAACATGATCTTCATGGCCTTCCTTAGAACGGTCTCTTTTGTAAAAGCTAAGTTCTTTATAACTTTTTATTATATAGACACGAGTGTTTTACTGGAAAATATACCACTCGTAAAATTCATAAAAACTACCTCCGGGACCCGAGTGGTTTATTTTCCATAATCTCACACGTGAGTTTATCGATGACGTAATTTTGGTAATTTCCCTCCATTATTTTATCGATGTCATTTTGTCTATATAATAAAAAGAACATTACACAGCGGCTTGAAGATATGAATTTTATTTTCTTGTGGCAAAAACAATATTTTACTCACTCGCAGTGCTCGTTCGTAAAATATTTGTTTTGCCACTCGAAAATAAAATTCATATCTTCGCGCCACCGTGTAATATCCTCTATATATGGGGGAAATGTTAAATTGTCAATATATACAGAGACTTTTATTCATAGCCTCCTCTGTTCTCAACTCCCTGGTTTTGTGTTACAAGAAAACGACAGGCAGTGTAGATTTTCCCTGCTTCCTGCTCATTCCAGATTTTGAAGATTATTATATAGAGGATATTACACGTTGGCTCGAAGATATGAATTTTATGTTTGAGTGGCAAGAACAATATCTCACGAGTGAGCGAGGCGAACGAGTGAGATATTGTTCTTGCCACTCAAACATAAAATTCATATCAAGCTCGGTTGCACATTATAAGAAAAATAATATACCTCTTTGGTTAAGTTGTTTTCGTTTTCCGCCCTTAGCACTGCAGTAACTTGCTATGCTGTGAGTGTTTCCACTGTATGCGAAAATACGCCACTCGGTTCCCGGATGAAGTGGCGTATGGAACCTACGAGTGGTTTAGTTCCCAGTAAAACACTCTCCTCCATATAATAAAATATAATATTTTGCCGTCATATTTATGACATGTGTCAACACTCTGGAAACTGGCCAGTGAGAGTGCTCCAGGGCCACTGTGTTGGTCTGAAGAATTTGTTTAGAGTAGAGAAGTGTGACATCACAAAAATGGGATTTTTGATAGAACAAGATGAAAACTGTCTGTTTGTTAAAACTCAGCTTGTTAGATCAAGTTAGTGGTGAGATATGTGCAATGGTATGCTCTGATGACTCCGTACATATCCCTCTAAAATTGACCTGGATCGTAAAAGGTACATTCAAGCCAATTTTAGAAGGGTTTGCATGGAGTCATCCAAGCATAACATTGCTTATATCTCACTGGAAATTTGCTCTAACAAGCTGAGTTTTTGTGAATGGACAATTTTCATCTTGTTCTTTCAGTTTCCAATTATCCCCCTCAATCTAATAATTTCTTTCTTAAATTTATTTATTTTTGTGACATCACTTCTCTACTCTATTGAAATTTGCTCAGGTTCGTAATTTCTTTCTTTAGGTTGATTCCCTTGCTTCTCAGTCTTACAGATTCACTGTTTGCTACAACCAGTTGCAAAAATGTTGCGACACTTCAACGAAAAACTGCCTTTTTGGCTTCAAATCTCTGCTAGTCACACTTCTGTGCAATATAATACTCTCCTCCCTCCTCTTATCCATGCAAAGTTGCTCCTCCAAGTTTTGAGCATGGTCTTTTATTGCTAGCTACTTTGACAAGGGGGGATCACAAGTACAAGATCATAGACAGGCCATTTAAGCCAAAATATGGTACAGTGTCTCAAGTACTTTTGCAACTGGTTGTAGCACTCATGTGATATCCATAATTCCCCACTATGTGACTGCTTGCTGTCTATTGCCACAGAATCAAACCTCAGAATACAGCACTGACACCAAAACAGCCTTAGAACAGTTGTGAACTGGCAGTAAACCTTATTAACTTTTTTCTAAAATGTAAATTTATCATAGTAATATATGATATTTTCAGAATAGTCATGCTTTTGTCTTTTTTTCTTAAAATGAAGGTGAGCATGATGTTGACATTATTTACAATTAGCAAGAAAGTGAGGGTTCTTTTTATTGATGATGATCATCAAAGGTGCTTCCCTGTCTTCTATACCACAGAAAATCAACAATATGTATAACAGAAATTTAAAGGTCTACTAACTTTTGCATAATATTTTAGTGCTGTTTAAGTTTTCTTTCAAAATGATCATTTTGAAAAATGACATTGTCATACATTACCACATCTTTCCCTTTCTCGTATAATTTTTGTTTTCCACAAGGAGAAATAGTCATAATTTTAGAACTACTGAGCCTGAATGAATGGGCTGAAAATAGAAATTAGGTAGTTTCTTGATAATGCAGATGATGCAGAAACTATTAATGAGGTACTATGAATCAAGCCCTCCTTATCTTTAAGAATTCAGGAGTGATCCAAGGGAGCTCCCCCCTATTATTGTGTAATGTTGTATTATTGTAAAATTTTTGGATCTTCCTCTGAAATAGTTAACTGCTTTGACGTTTAAAAATATAATTACCACTGGAAAGTGATAGCTTGAAAATGAAACTTGGCTTGAATGTTTCCGTTTAACTATGGAACTTGTTCACACTGATCAGAACAAACTATAAGTGAAGTGTCACATTTATTGTTTTGGCATGTCATGAGTGGAAATGATTATTTGGAACGGCATCAAAGGGCAGAAAGTACTGGCTTGAACAGTGCAAGTTGGACCCTTTGGCTGTGCCCCAAAGTGTTCACTAGATAATTATATTATCTTTTAAATTGCTGTAATTTTTCAGAGTTTGTTTAAAGTTTGTTATAAGTAGACCGCATAAACACTGAGGGCGTAAGGGATGCTCACCAAGCGAGCAATGAATTTGCGAGACGAGTGATGTTTCCCAACTGACCACCTAACCCGCAGAAACTGGAAACAGGCTTTGAGAAGGTCTAAGTGTGTTTGTTTTTTTCACCCTGCCTTGACTACCTTTGAAGCTGTTTGTGAGACAAGCCATAAATCAAAATCAAAATCATGTATTTCAGTGGTGAAATGTTTTGTTGGTCTAACTAGGAACCCTTATCACCCCAGATGGAAGAAGTAGGTTATGTTCCCCAGTAACACCTAGACTGCAGGTAACCATCTTTCTCTCCTTCCCCCTCCTTCCTCACAATTTCACCACTTACCCTTTATGCATGCTCTAGAGCTACTGTGACTCAAAAGAAAATTAGAGACTGCTCCCAGTCTAAGTGACACCTAAAGGTCACAAAATTCAAAACGAATGTTAAATTTAATATCCAAGGGAAATCATAAAAAGGAAGTGCTGAAGAGGTTTCTTTTACTATATTCAAGTGGTTAATAGTTGGCAGTAAGGGTTGTTTTTACTCCTCAAGTGCCACACCCTCAGTAGCGACAAACCACTTGTGCTCCCTTCTTGATAACTAGAGAGAATCAGCGGCAGCTTTCGAAAATTCACAAGAGGAGGTCACTGGGCAAGGGAGGCACCCCAGACCCTGGGCAAAGGTAGATGGGTGGGAATTTTTGGGTCAAAGTTAGTAAAATAAAATGGTTTATTAATTTCTGCCTTTTTCTCTGGCCTCCTTGACTGAATCAGGCTTATTTTGATAGAGCTTTCCCCTTTTGTATTATTCAGTATAAGAAAGATGAAAAAAATGCCCTTGACCATTAAAACTGATTATGTTACACATGGTAGAAGGAACATGGATCAGCACGGGCGAATTCAAGGTGAAAGGATCAGTTTATCTCACTTTTTTTGTCACGGTGCTGGTCAGAAGGATCATGACTTCGAGGACAAGAAAGCAGTTTTAGTTTAATTTTGTAGAGTTACTGGTCATTTACGCAAAAAGACAGCTGCTGTATCTGATAAGCCAAATTGACATTCCTCTTATTTCATCAAATGAATGATAAACTTCCACAGAAAATCTTTTAAAACTTTGCCACCAAATGGGGATGGTAAATGATTAATTCTACACTTTATTAACATGATTTAACTCATAACACTTTACTCTTGCTAAGGGGAATGGCACTTTTTGAGGGCAGTACTAACTCACATCATTTTAATGAATAACACCAGATGTGTTTACTGAGATTGATGCTCATAAGAGACAGTGCTATTAAGAATATAACGAAGTCAACTTAATTCAGTTGAAATGGGGAATACAGTCAAACATCCCCATCCCCAAAGTGACCACCCAAAATGCGAAGACTTAGTGGTCGTTTCGCACACAAGAATTGAACCACAGGGTGCCTCTTCGGAGAAGAGGTCCGGGCACATCTACTTTATGGAATATAATTTATTGCATGCAATTTCTAAGTTACACCACGTGTATTTCCATGTTGTTACTAAAGTTCTTCATATATTCAAAGTAGCACAGGGCACACAGTGAACATAGAGATCAGAGAATTCATCAAGTGGTCACTTACAAGAGGTTAAAAACTATAGAAAATCATTAAACTTTCAGGCCCAAAGAGTGGTCGTGGTCGTTTTCTAGAGGCTTTGACCAGGAAAGTCTTGGTGTTTTGGATTGGCGGTCATTTATGGGAGGTGGTTGCTTACGAGAGGTGGTCGCACATGGAGGTTCAACTGTATTTGAAACTCATACATTCACCATGGCCCCACATAATCTTCATCTTCATCTTACCCAGGTATATCTTATTAAGAGCCAATTTAATGACTGGGCTCCAGCAGTTTAAAAGGTGGATAACGCTAGTAACTGGATAAATCACTATCTCCTGCTTAACACAATAATGGTTTTCCTAATACTTATCCACTGGATAGAGATTTATCCGGTGGATAGCGCTATCCAGGGTTTGAACAACTGGGGCCAACTCCAAATTGGTTTGCTTGCTCAGTTGGCTAGAGGGCTGCACAGTTATGGCAGGGGTCAGGGTTCCAATCCCGGCAAGCCAGGATTTTTACAGGCTTTCTCTTCACAACTGCTTAAGTTCCATATTTAATGGTGATGTTCTTCTCTGCAGTCATAAGTTCAATTGATTCACAACATTACTAAGAAAGTTAACAGCCTCAATTTGAAACACACCATACTTTATTTGTTCAACCTTACAATTTTCTTATATTACTTAATGCTTACATGTTATTTAAAGTAAGATACTGTTATATCCTTTTAATATAAGGTTTGGCATAACGTTTG